ATCCTCTGTAAATAAAAGGTGCACAATTAAAAAAAAAATATATAAAGATGAAAAGTCATTGAAAAGTATACACAACAGTCATCTCACTGATTTGATATGTCGTATTAAAATTCACTCTCTATATTAATAAATAAAATGCTGAAATGCAGATTAAAATCATTTGAGTGCATATTACTAGTATTGAAGATCGCTATTTAAAGCAAAAAAATGAACATGTGGATCACTTCCCTTCGAGTAATGACAAATGTAAATATTTAGCCTTCCATTTTGGCTTCCAGAAAGATGGTTAAGTAATATTTATCTTTGGAATAAAACATGTTGTAGATAGAACTCAGTTCTATCAAAACGTTATCAGCTCCCATGCACCGAACATGAAAGATCTAGGTAACTGAAGGATGCAAATGCTTTCATTAACCTTAAGATATACCCTTAACAACCTGGAAACAGTTTGCTAAGATTGATGCTGTACTGTACTTTTTTGATAGCATTCTTAATTAAAGTACATCTAGTCTAATACATTTCGAGTTTAGAACCAGAGAGTTGCTTGTTTGAGTTTAAGGTTTATATAAGTCACGAAACGGAGCTCGAGCATTTCACTCACAATATTATCAATTATGGTGCATTCATGATGCGAAGAGGGTTCTCGATTAGCATAAAATAGTTCTGAAATATTGACTTCTCATGAAGCTATTTTTGTATAAATTCATTTGTATTAAAAGAAAAAAAAGCTTTCGTAAGCTCTCTTGTAAACAGTACAATGTATATTCATAATTGTACAATTACTGTAATGTTTACATTGATTTAAACATTCTTAAAGTTCCTGCTGCATATTTTCTCAGTGAAATCGAAGTCGTGAAATGGGTTGCTTTACCTTAGTGTTTTCTCGCCTTCATTACTGTTTCATTAACCAGCTTAAGTTTGAGTTAAGATAACCCATCTCTTTCCTAATTAATTTTGAATATTTTTTTATCCTGGATGTATGAAGGAAATGAAAACATTCCAGACCCTGCATTTAAAGGCGATTAATGTTTAATTAGCAAGATCTGGACATCGTGCAATATGATCAGTATAATATAGATCGATTATCAAAGAAAAAGATTGATGGTTTGAGTACATTTACAGGCTGTTCTGACCATCATGTATTACAGTATATTTAAAAAAAAATTAGTGTAGTCTTTAAAACAATCTTACATCACATTGAACTTAGGTTTAAAATATGTTTAATTTATCTGACAATAATTAGTCTTTAACCGTCAACCTAAGACTTTATAAAACCATTCCTTACGATAAATTAAAGTTCATTATTTTTGACATCACAGACTGCTGCCCTTTTTTTATTTTCATTTTTTTTTTATTTTATAAAAATGAAACATTTGCCCTACTTATAATTAGTCATTTTAGCAAATATTTGTTCTGTAAACATGCAAATTATACACAAGTACTCAGAAGTTGAAATTAAAGAAGAGCTTAGTTTCTGACTGAAAAAAAAAATCATGTAGTCATTGGGACTACTTTTCAAATCTGTCAGAAATTCCATGGGTACCAATTTCGCCACATTATTAACAGATCTATTTGTGTGTTCGTACAAAGCAGAATTTATTCAAAACCTCATACACGAGAAGAAGAAAACACTTGGTGTGGCCTTCAACTGGTCATTAAGATATATCGACGACGTATTATCAATTAACAATAGTTGTTTCCATTCTTATGTTAACTCGATATATCCCAGTGATATATAAAAGTAAAAAGATACCACGGAGTCTCACACATATGTTTCATATTTAAGCATTTTATTTTGAAAAAGGCTTCAATACATGTTATAAAAAATGCTTTATAATAAACATGATGACTTTAACTTTTTAAACGTTGACTACGTGTAGCAATACATACTTATTACCAGCATATAGAGTTAATGTCTCTAAGTTGATTAGATACACAAGAGTATCCGCTAGCTATGAAAAATTTCTAAAGCGGGACAAACTATTCACCAACATGCTTATAGTCAAGAATTTCTACAGTCTCTTTAAAAGTAATCTTTTTGCAAGTTCTGTGGTCGATACAATGCAAATATCATCTGTCAGTCAGTAGAATGCAGACTGACGTTTTTCATACACTGTATGAACTATTAAGTCATTATTTATAAACTGAATTAATGCGGATTTTTCATTTTTTCCGACCATGACATGGTACACACGGCGGGTGAGACCGATCGGCAGAGAATGCTAACTCCGATCCTCCATGACACCTGATCCAAACTCTGTTTCTGAAGGCCCGTGTTTGCTCTACTCCCGAATTGTTTCGTTAAATGGACTTTTGTGCATACAAACTTTATTAACCACAAACGAAACTAATTTATTCACTTATCACGTGCATATGTATGTAAGATTTAAAATGTTACATTTTCAACATTTCTTTCATTGAAATTCTATTTGACTTAAAAATGGGCTTAGAAAAAATGAAAACTTCGTTTTTCCACATTTACATAAATGGCTAGGTTAATCATCTTGGATTCTTTTTTTTTTTTTTTTTTTTTTTTAGAAATAGTAAATTTTGTTAGACTGATCAGCCATTGTAGATTTTATTTGTTCATTTAAAGTTGAAAAATTAATTGATTATTTGGAATCATCCGTTTCAAATGAATTTGTTGGTAAAAAAAAAATTTTTTAATTAAAATGACCTTTTTTTTTTGTTTGTTGAAATTTATAAATACAAGTTTCGCTATAGCTTTTAAGGATATGGTGATGAACTAATTGCTCGATCACATGAGTTGCTGTGTGTGAAATTTGGATATAAATAATGACAGGTGCGTGCTGATGACAACTGGCCTTTCTCTGACTTTCGATCAGAAGAAATATTGTCATTTATCCGTCATCTACACCGTGGCAACCTCAAATGACCCCACAATCAAGTGATTTACACTTACAGAATATCACTACGAGATGGAAATTTAATGAAATGTTAACTATAACATTTTTTTTATATAAATACATTTCATATTTTTAAAGTTAGTTGTAGAATTTATGAGCAATTGATCTTCAATAAACAGATGCATATTCCGTGTGATTTTTAACGATAACGTTAAATGGAGCTTCATTTATAGTAATGACAGCACAATGGCTGACTTGAAATTGAATAATGTTTCAAAACCAATTATATTTTTTCAATTATTTAACATTTACTCGATCAATAGAATTCAACATTTTTCTTACACTTGATCCAGACCAAAATTCACTTGGAGTTCCCTCAGATTCGTCGCTTTAAGATTTGATCTGAAACGCCTTAATAATTGTAAGGGTCCATAATTTTTTTATTTGGGGGGGGAGCATCGTTGTTGGTGTGTAGGGGGATAATGAAGATATACTCTAGCAAGTCATATAGACAAAGTTGCAAATTGTTTTTATTCAAAGCTAGGAGGGGTTTCAACCCCCGAAAACCCGCTTTTTCGTAATGTTTTACATAATATTTAGAGACATTGATATGTATTTTCACAGGAAGATTATGCAAATTACCAAATTAACATTACAATAACTTATTGCAGATAGGCAATCGATAATTTACATCGACTTCTTAATTTGCAGACATGTGCAGCATGTAGTGTATAAAGTTCATACTCTCTTTTGAAACGAAAATTGAAGTCTAAAATACGTTGTGCTCTTTGTTTGTTCTCTCGTTTTCAAAAAAAAAGAACACATTTTTAGCGGTTAAACAGAGAAATATCAATTAATCAATCCTTTCTTTTCTAATTCCACGAAATGTCATTTCTTAAATAATAACTTGATTTTAAAGAAATGATATATACATGTACACGAGTTGAGAAACAGAAGAAGTGTAATGAAAAACACTTTTAGGAACAAACTACATTACCTATGAAAGAATCACTCAAATTTATGAGAGCTAAATTTAAACAAATAAATGCTTTCTTTGGTTGTTAGTACGGAAAATAATGTTGCAGCTGTTGAAAAAAAAAAAACATAACCCGCGTTATGTAATTTTTTTTTCTGCAATAGCTGCGACGTAGATACCCGTAATAATCACCAAAGATAGACATTTTATTGTTTATATTATATCTATATGAATAATCATTTAAAGTGGGATTAAATGAGATTATTGTATTTATTATATGTATGACAAAGTACGTTTCATTGATGGAACAGCCACTGATAAATACATCTGTACAGAATATCTTGAACTGATACAGGGGCGTAGCAACCGGCATACTACAGGAAATGTTAATTGAAAGCCCCACGAAATAGGATTTTCGACTTTGGGCAACTCTTCCCCCTTTTTTTTTTTTTTTGCTTGTCAACTTTTTCAGGTAAGTAAATTTTTTTTTTCTCTGAGAAATAAACGGCAATGGGATTTCTATAATTCTATCATTGTATACTTCATATATCAATAACGTTATTTTCATTAGGAAAACAAATTTGTCGACAAGGATATTACAGATATGCTGAAAACTTATATCCTCGTAATGCAGTTTGACATGGAAGTAACGCTCCACGAAGAATATTATACTAGCGAGCTACTGAACACAGAATTAAACGGATAATTAATCTTCCTCTCATTGTCAGTTCTTTTTCAATTACCGCCTGTTTCTCCCGCAGGAAAATCAGAACATTAGCTCTCGAAACATCGGGTCAAAATCATTCAAGTTTAATTTACTGTTCCAACCGAGAGTACAACCCCGAACCTTATGTTAGCATTGTTTTGGTAAAAACCCATTATCAATATATTTTTTTTTCGATAAGGAAAAAGCAAGTCAGCCATTTTTATTTGACATTTAAGAAAATGTATTGATTCAATATAGTATACTCATTGTACACAATCTCTTGACGTATATGATCATTGTGTGAAGTGTTTAATTTTCGAAAAATTCAAAGCCCATTGAATGATTTATGATGGAAGCTAAAACACCTGCTTTCATCATATTTATTCTAAAAAAGACCGGTAACAACAATGAACTAAGTGTTAAAATAATATCATGCTTTTCCTTAATTCAGGTGCCCCCGGCACGTTCCGTCAGTATGTCCAGCCTTCGGAACCCCTCTGCGCACCCTTTGATAAATATTTCGGACCATGACAGATCGGTGTCTTATTCCTCGGACGAGGAGTCCAGCAACCCGGCTTCACCATATCACCAGGCGCGAAATCAGCAAGGTGCGCTAAGCGATCGATCTAAGGAGTCGGAGAACGAGGAGCTTCTCTCAGAGAACGATTCGGACTCTAAGCATCACAAGAAGCATGTGGAAACGTTATCGCCCAAATTTACAAGATCGGATTCTGTAAAATTTAGGAGGCAGTCAAATGGAAGACATAGCCGGAAAAGTTCGCAGCCAATAGGAAATGCCACTCCACCTAAGCAGTCACGGAGAACCTCGAGTTTGAAGCTAAAACGTATGCACTTAGATGTAAACAATCAGACCAGAGAGAAAACCATGCCTTGCCTACCCAAATGTAGTAATAGACCCACGAATCCAGCAATTACCATTACAATTGAATCTGACGACGAATCTATCTATAGTGATTATTTGAATCCTGATGTTAATTACAAGAATGATGTAAACCATGTGCATTTTGTTGGGGACGACACATCTCTGTATGGAACTCCAAAAGAGGAGTTATTACCTCCGACAGGGGACTCGGCCTCCACGGACCAGTGTAACAAGACTAGTCCCACTAGTTTCCTTAAGGATCAGATTATTTCATTTTTTCAACCCTCGGATAATAAACTAGCTATGAAGCTGTTTGGAAATGAAAATTCATTACGGAAAGAGAAAATGCGACATAAGCGGGTGGGGAACTGGGTCATACATCCATGTAGCAATTTCAGGTAAGTGGATGCATATTTTTATTACGCAGTATTGTCATGTTGAATTCGTGCTCATTGGACATATTTTGGGTAAAAATTTTATTTGAGGAATCCGTATTTATTGCATATTGGCATAGCAATCTAAAATACAATCTAGAATTTTTAAATGCGGTTGCTCCAAGTAAATCTTCTGAATCTGTCTTTCACACATTGTCCAAATATTGTTTATCAGGAATACATTTAAATAATAAACTGATAATTACTTATATTTGACAGCAAATATCGATATGATGAATATACTTTCATGGTGTAACTGACCTCAGTTATATCAAAATGCTATTTATGATCTGTACTGTAGGAGAAACTCTTGCTGCACGAATCCTGTCTATACAGAATCAGAAAGCATAAAATTTCTCAGATATATCAATAGCATACTTCTTGCTATTTAAAAGGAAAACTGTTTGTAAAATAAGCCAAATCATTAAGATTCAAGATTAAAATATTGGCAATTAGAAAAAAAAATATTTTAAATGTTTTTATATTAATAATTAAGCATAATCTGTGCAGAGAATTAAACTGAAGTTTTCCTTATAAGAATTAATATTAGATGCTCAACCCACGCTAATCAACTAAAAAGACCTGCCAGTGCATGTTATTTTGCACTGGGGATGCACAAGAGAGCAATTAACAGTTAATATGGCAGTAAAACCAGTCTCAACGAAAAAAGTGTTTACATTGTGCGAGCAATTATCACAATGCGTGGATGTACTCAAAGAGTCAACATCATCCTTGACAGTTTTAAACATTTGTATCTAGGGGCAATGGACAAGAAAAAAAGTCAGCAAATATCAGGTTGATATGACCGAAGAATTTTTGTGCGCAGGCAACTCGTTACTTATTTGCCTGACTGGACTAATGCCCACAGATGGTGCATCAGGCTGCATCTCCAATCTCTTTGCCGAGAATCAATAACAACCCTGTCTTTTTACCAGAAAATGTGCTACATAATGCCCATAAAACTAGCAAAATGAGACCTTCTTTCTGTCCGATTCAGAAATCGTTTAAATAAATATGCTAACGAAAGAGATGGCAAAGGCCAAAGGGTCTTGTCTCCAACCTCTTACCATGGATGTTTTTGAGTGAATATGAATGACTGTCCCTTTGATGATGTCATAAAGACAGGTTATAGACTTGTCTGAATCAATTACTTAATCCCCCCATTGATTCTGATTTCTAAGAAGAAACCTTCTGAATACTTCATTGTGGATTTCACTGAGACATGCCATCGCAGTAAGACGCATCCTAATTTGTTAAATTGGAATCTATAATAAAAAAGGTTGGAAATCCTTGCTCACCTATTCGCATTACCCATCATTATCTTTTATTGTTTCGACGAGTTTTAGAGCGTTGTCTCTCAGCATGATCACCTTCTACAATGTATCTGAATTCCAAAAAGCCTGATTATCCGGAAGATAAATTACTCGGCAGGTTCTCTCTAGTGTTGCTTCGTTTTGTCTCGCATCATAATTACCTAACCAAACTTTGCAACTTTTTAAGTTCATTGCCTCTTCAATGATCTAATAGAAAAGGTTGTTCCTCATCGGTAAACATACCTCCAATTAAATTAATTCTTGTTATCATTCTTTAGAGAACAGAAAATCTTACATAATGTAAGACTTATTTTAATTCATTTCAAAAACTATCATTTAATAAAAAAAAGAAAAAAAAAAAAAAAAAAGATCTCGATCCCGTGACCTCTCGCATGTGAAGCGAGTCTAATCTTGATAACTTTGGATTCGACAACTTTTGGCGAAGATGTGGAAATCGCGTTTTCATTAATAAAAAAAGGCTGAAATAGAGAAATTGTGAAAAAAGTCAGATAAAGGTCCGAAGACAAGAATAAAAATAGCATGGAAAGGTAGCTGTAATTATGTATGAGAATTCTCAATATACAGCATATAGTAGTACTTCTGAGTATTTTTATGTAAGTAAATCACGTCATCTTTCGTGTATCTCCTGTATTTAATCTACTACTTGAAGAGTTAAATTGATTATTATAATGTAGATGGATGAAAATGCTGCCAAGATTCTTGCCAAAAATATTTTATTTTCTATCTTTGACGATATAACTAACCAAAACTTAATGGTCTGTTGCATATAACATTATCGTAGTTTATAAACTATGAGCTGTGAGTATCATATTGTCGTAGCGGTAGAATTAAATACATGTTAGTAGAAGATACTTCAAATTATCTGCAATACGGCATGTGTAATGTTCTCAGTAAAGAGTTGTTTTTTTTAAAAAGAAAATGAAGTGTTGAGGATAGCCTACACCATCAAGCTCAAAAGTCCAGTTAAACTGTAAAATTATATGTATAATTGTCAGCTAAGTAAACAAGGACCTATGGAAACAATAAAATGCTTTAAGGCAAAGACTATGATTCAATATGTTATGTCGAATCAGAAATCTGATTTTCTGCTGAGCATTGCATGTTTTTCTCGCTAAATGATTTAAAATTACGTTTGAATTATCATTATCTGAAATCCTAAAATATAACTTTAACACCAAATATCGTGATCTCGGAATGTCTTATTGCAGCCCGGAGAACCGGGCTGCTCTATACATATAAGTTTAAGTTTTGGTATATGGGGATTGAGGTGGGAGAAGTTATTCAGAATTAAAGGTTTTCTAAACATTAAAAAGATTGGTAATCAGAATGTTCTTTCTCTTTATAAATTACGAGATACATGATATATTTACTTCCATAAAGTGAATCTGTAAAAATATATATGTTTTTATATTTAATATATAAAGTTGCTTATAATTTACTATCGAAAAACGACAGTTCCCTTTTTTTAGAACATCGAATTTTACTTATCGCATAAAAACGTACTGTAGACAGTTCGTGTTTTATATTCTTAAAGTGAAATACATTTTTGAATACAGGTGATATATATGTCTGGTTTCGATTTATATTTTATGCAGCCAACATTTACTTGAGGAATTGATAAGTTTAAATTGGTATTGTTTGTTTTCGATTTTCTTCCGACTATAAGTTTTCAAAATATTCTCGACTATCGTCTCCATCATTTAGACGCATATCTTTTTCACACATATCGAAGCGGTTTGATGATCAAGACTCATTTCCATTGTTTACTCTATTTATTTCCCGGGCGACAATTGATGGTTACATCAATGTTTTCTTGTATGTACCTTTAGGTTTCTCTAGGTATCTTTACACTGATGAAGGAATACCATTTACTTCCATTTTCCAAAAAAAAAAAAAAATCTTTTAACATATACAACAAAATTCAAGAATAAAATATTTTTTCCGCCATTCACCCATGTTAACGATACACAATATGTATCAATAACGTAAGCTTTAATCATGATCCTTTTAAAACACGATCGAAAAACTTCAATGGATATCATTATGAAGGATTGTGGAATCTTTTTTTTTATACAAATGTCACTGGTAGATTTTTTGCGGCGTACGTTCTTAATGCTTAATGAGATTAAAAGAATCGACTTTCTGTACATCAGTGACATCTATAATTGTAAATATTCCACGGGCATAATGTAAAAATGAACAAAAATTGATGATACGAAAAAATTACAGTGGCAGGTATTGATGGTCTTATTTTGAAATTTCCGACATATGCAGTTTTTATAAAGCAGGAAGTAAAGGAAACTCCAACAACTGAGGATGAAATACTTTATAGGCTGTGAAATGCAATTTATTGGGCTGCAGAGGGCAAGAAAGTTCGGCTTCGAACCGCTTGGGAAACCAGTTGTAAAATGTGAGAAATGTTTTGAAAAGAAAAGGCTTAGCTACCATCTATAATTTTACCGGAACGCATTTGACGCTACCAGGTGGTTTATTTCATCGCGGAGAAATGTACACATTGCGCATCCCTGTCTCTGTGTAAGAAATGTTTTATTCCTTATCACTTCCACAAAATATACACAATGCAGACAAATTATAAGGCACGTGGCTTCTGTATTTATCTTACTTCAACGGTCTCGGAGGAAATTTTACGAGCATTTAAATTCTTGGATGCAAAACGTCTGTGAATATAACGCCTCTTTTGCGAGACAAACCACTATGAGAAAGTCTTGGAACGATGGACATACATTTGCAAATAATAATACATATAAAGTACATTGTGCAATTATCAATGAAATTCATAAAAGATTTGCAATAAGAGGAATACATACAACAATATCATTAAATATTTTAAGAATTTATTTGGAATGGTTTTGGATGTCATTTGTGCGATGAAAATCTGTGTAAATAACGATTCGTTTTAGCGCAATTATTCGTTACAAACTGATAATTGCACGTGAACAGAATTATTACCAAAGTACAAGTGACGGCTTTGCAAGAACAAATCGGAACACTGTACAATCACGTCGAAAATGCAAAATATCACTTAATAAACTAGGAATTATACAAAGTACATTTTTTTTTACTGTAAATTATATGTTATATTTTACGAGGATAATACAGATTCTTTTTTCCTACACTATTCCGTTTAAGCTTAGTTTGAAAATGTGTTTGCCCATAAATCCCTTTACTGTTGATGAGAAATATTCTAATACTTTGGATATATAGATCTTTAGCCACAGGCAGGGGATTGTCACGTTTGTCCAACTACTTTCTGATCACCTCCTCCGTATGAGAGTCACGATCGGCGTTAGTACGATAAAGAACCCCCACTTCTCACTGGCTCTTAGTGCAGAGTAAAGCTCTAAAATTTAAAGCTTTCGACCGGTATATGGTGTCGTCTCTATGTTAGTGAAAAAATTCGCGAATGGGAATTAATACATGTATTAGTATATCCAATCAATCAATCAATCAATCAATCAATCAATCAATCAATCAATCGAGTTTTACATAATGTAGATTCAAGTTTTCTCGAAAGGGACGAAAACAAAATACAAACAATCAATATAATTATGGTATTAAGGCTTGAATGCAAAGAGGCATGATATGAGCTACCTGTGTGTGTTTTGGAAT